TTTAGACGTTATCATCAAGTTTGATCAACACAACTCAATTGTAAGTCAAGCTATTTTCTTCAAGTTGTCATTCCATGTTTCTCAGTGGTATTGGTGGAGGTGTCTTAGTACAGTGGTGTTACATACTGTATGTGGGTTTTTACATCCTGACCTCTTACAGTCTGTACATATCTGGAGGCCTTTTTAGTCTCTCACTGACACTTATCCAGAACCTTTCACTCTTTTCTCTAGATTCACAACTTTTCTTACTGTGTTTTACTGAAGCTGTTAATTGTTTATACCATCATTGCGTGAATTCTTTGCATGAAAGATTTAGGTGGAAATATTTCTGTTTCTTTTGGAAGTGATAGAATATAAGTTCTTAAACTGTAATGACTTATATTGCTGATAGATGGATGGATGTTTACCCAAGTATAAGAATTATTATTTAAAATACCTCAGAATGTATCCTTTAAATTTACATCAGGAGTCTCCTCTCTCGATGCCGGCTACATTTTACACGCACATGTTTTTACAGTAGCCCAAAATGGAAAAAAAAAATCATATTTTGAGTTTTTTAAAGCAAACATAGGTTCTTCTACATGTTTAGAAGAGGAGGCTGAGGTGATGGGTATCCAGCTGCACTTTCTGTGCATGAAAATATTTCTTTCAGATTATTCTCAGATTTCAGATTTTGTCATTACAAAAGTTCACTTTGTGACTCTGTTATGGAAAAATTTCCACTACTGACCTTTCTGAGACACTATCCTCTGTACTGCGGGAATTGTCTTCTCAAGTCTTTCACTCGTGTATCAGATTACTTTGATGCTTGATCAACTGTTCCTGTCTGTTAGAAGTTAAACCTATCTGGTCAGGTGAGAAAACAGCTAAGCATACAGTCTACTGAGGGGATGTAACACCAAATGTCCTTGGGGGGGTTTATTGCTTTTCCTGTTGCCTGTTGACCAGCAATCCTTAAGTGTAATCTTCAATGGGTTTTTCATTACTTTAACACCCTCAACTACTTCGGGAATACAGAGAGGGGGCTTCCTCTTCTGCATAATAAAGCACACTTTGATCTATTGTTTAGGAAAACTGTTTTAAGTGTCATATGTCTGTCCCCTCACTTGTCATGTGACCAAAGTCATCCCCTTTCCTCACTCCTCCCATCCTAAATGTATAAAACCTCAGTCACTCACTTTGTTTAGTCAGGGCAACATTGAGTCTTATACTTTCTGTATCTGTTAATTGTTTTCCTTCCTTGCGCAAAGACATCAAGCTACGGTCTGTGGTTCTTTTTTTACTCTCTCATTAAGATATTAGAACAAAATATTCACAACACTGTGTGGATGTGCAAATTGTGTAAATATTCCTATTATATATTTGTAAATATTACTCTAAAATCTGTATTGTACTTTGGACAGGTGATAATGAAGAAGACATTGAATATCTTCCCTGGACAACAGACAGTATCCTTCAGGAAGGGTCCATCTGGA